GACCTCTTTATCACTGTAGAGTATTAGATAAACTAGATTGTTTTGTTTAAAATGGGCTCCACAGTATCCTATGACCGACACAATTAGTTTTTAAATGGATTTGTAGGTTTGAATGCCACTCTTATTCCATTGTTGTTAAGACTCCTACATAAGATTTCAGAGGTTCCTTGTTTGTCTGGCAGCACTACTGATGTTTTATAAACCCCGTATTCTTGGTAGTTATGTTTATGTGAATGTTTGTCATACACACCGTTCTTATTTTCATTTTTATTCTTCTAATTTCCTGTCTAATAAATATTTCCTGATTAATTTATCAGGGTAATTACTAAAAGTGCCAAAAACTCCTCTTATATTTCATACAACCAACCAGGTTCTCTTGATTAGGTTAAATGAAGAAAGAAAAAAACTTAACCATAACTCTCGGCATCACTGTGATAAATGTATGTTTTGAAATTTTGTTACACTTATACTTCAAATGAACTGTGGTCACAATTTAATCATAGATTTAAAAGTGTTAGTCTACTTTTGTTAAATACTGTAAGCACTGTGTACTTTTGCATCAGATTTTTAATGATTACGTTCGACTAAAGTTCATGGTCGTAGATAACTGAATATGAAAAAATATATATATAGGTGGTATACAATAGTGTGTGTATGTTTGAAGTTAGGCGTCGAGTGGATAGATAAGGAGGGGAAATCAATCGACGAAGCTGTGAAGTTACATCAATTGAGATGGTTAGGACATGTGTTACGTATGCCTGTCTAGCCATCGATCGCCTTCCTCGACAGCGGGCAATGTTAGCTGACATAGGATCAGTTTGGAAAACAGCTAGTTAGTGGTGGTCAAACCGAAAAATGGCATCCGCCAATGAAATCCACAACAGTTTGAACTAACTGTTAAAGCCAGCCACGTAGGTAGGTGTAGACTTCCTGGTTAGTCTCCTCGGGATGGTAAAAACCAATAGTGGCTAGAAACAGTTGGTGATGTGGCTCAAAATCGTTATCAATGGCTGGCGCAGATGCATTCACTCTTTCTGATGGTTTGTGATATGCAACAAAACTCTATTGTCTGACTGATTAACTGGTTTCAACATAGAACTTTGCACCGATATGTAGCAGTTCGAAGAACAATATAGTTTTATTGGATATTATAAGTCACAAGGAGTTGATACATCTGCGCTAGCCATTGACAATGACTTTGAGCCATATCACCAATTGTCTCCAGCCTTCATTGGTTTTTACCGTCCAGAGGACCCCAATTTTATTGTTATTCCATATTATTCTAATTCTTTTTCCCTCACTCACATTTCTGTTAAATATCTGTCTTTTGAATCTCTCTTTACTTCCTCTCTTCTCGACCTTTGTGTGGTACATGGGAGAAAAGCGACACGTTGAACTAGTGCACATCTGTGCAAAGTAGTTCTGTGTTGAAACAAGTCAGTCAGTCAATGTGTGTGCATGTGTGTATTCGGAAAAAACTGTAAATCATTTGTTACCCTCTCCATTAGAAGATATAGACAATCGGGGAATTTAGATAAAGTATGATAAATTATTATTATATTATTATTATTTCTTTTAATTCCTAGAGGAACATAGGGCTTCAGCCGTGCGTATCCATTGCATTCGGTTCTCTGCTAGAGTCTTCACCTGGCTCCAAGTCTGCCCACACGTTTTCATCTCCTCTTCACATGACCTCCTCCAAGTCACCCTCGCAATGACGACCAACTCGCCGCTTCCCTTTCGGGTTCCACTCGAGAGATGGCCTGACGTGTGATGTCACTTGATGGTTTCCTCAGAGTATGGCCAATCCATCTCCATTTCTTCCTGCCTATTTGTTTCACAATCGTTTCCTGCTGTGTTGGTTCGCTCCCAGAGATCTCTGTTGCTGATCTTTTCTGGCCATCTGATCTTGAGCGAAGTATTGAGCGAAGACAACTGTTAATGAAGGTCTGTAGTTTGACTCGCCAAGTCTCTGATCCGTATAGTAGCACTGACTTCACATTGAAGTTGAAAGTTCGGATCTTATTTTTGATGCTGAGTGCTGTTGACCTCCACACGGACTTGAGAGTAATGAAAGCTTGTCTTGCTTTTCCGATTCTTGCTTTGATATCCTCGTCAGTTCCGCCTGTAGTTGAAACGATGCTTTCAAGGTAGGTAAAAGAGGTTGTTTCCTCCAGGTTCCTGCCATTTATGCTGATTGTTGTCTGTTGTTGTTGTTGCTGTTGGTGGTGTTGCCCAGGAATCTTCATCACCTCTGTTTTCTCTATGTTCACCTGAAGTCCTATCTTTGATGCTTCTTCTACCAACTTGTTGCTTTTCGCTTGCATATCTTCCAGTTTGTGGGAAATCAGACATATATCATCGGCAAAATCCAGATCCTCCAAGTTGAATTAGTGATACATATCTATTTTTATTTATTAATCAGGACTTGACATGCATCAGCTAACACCTTCCTTTCATGCTTGTTAAAGCTTTTGGAATTCACCTGTAAATGTAGGACTTCTGCAGTCAGTCTTTCTTTATGTGAATGAACCAAAAGTTTTCTGTAGAACCTTAGTCCTTTCATCATATTCGATCTTGTGTCCCGTTTCTATCGAGTATAGTGCAATCGTCGATCTGTTTTTAAGCATCATCAAATCTCCACAGGTCTTTGGAAACTGCCTTTAGATGGTTCAATTAATTTCCTTGAAGAAATTCGGACTAGTTTACCGAATACAAGAAACGTTGGAATTACTTATTTCAGTTTTTGCTGAGATTTTACAAATATAATTTTCACATTCGCAACTTTAATATTTTGATATTGTTTTAGAATGTACATTAAAACAATTAGTCCCTTTGATAAATTTGAATTAAGCAATTAGAAGACAAATTTCGCTAGATGATATCATTTCACATAACTTTAATTGAAGGTCATTGAAGGTGATGGAAGCAATTTGAACTCATCACATACATCCTAAATTATGTTTACAAAATAGCAATAGACTTCAACCTTTGCCTACCATGGACTACACGTATTTATTCCCCTTTATGAATTTGAATAAAGCAAGAACAACACAGTGGTTTGTGCAGAATAATATGGTACCATCATTGTTTATTTCGTTGGTTTCTCGTCAGCTGCTTAAAGCCTAAACGCAATAATTTATTTAGGCTGTAAGCAGTTGGTAAGAAGCCGACGAAATAAATGATGATACCATATTATTCTGCACAAACCACTGTGTTGTTCTTGCTTTATTCAAATACCATGGAATACTTGACCTATTTAAATATGATTGGTCAGTAGTATGTACTTTTGTTTTATAGAACTGAGTAATTGTGATGCATTTTATTTTATTATTGTGAACCATGTAAGTTGTAAAGCGGTTGTAAAGAAACTACGAAATGAAGATATCATCTCGCGAACTTTCTCTTCAGAATGCCTTATTCAAATAGAATGTACGTGTTTGAAATGAGTACCAAAAATAAACGAGGGCGTATCATCCTGCAAGTGTTTATCCTTTCCCCTTGTTCAAACTTCTTCGATATGTCCTTCTTCCTACCAGAGATTTTCTCTTATGCTATTTAGCTGTTTATCACTAATCCCTTTTTTTTCTCCACTGACATGGAATGGGATAAATCGAAATCCATATATCTGTTTAAATATGTGAGTTGCTTTGTAAACACTAGTGTTTATTTAACATCGTATCTTCTTTCCTTTTTATGATGCAATCGAACATTGAAGGCGTCTTTTGATGACTGGTTAACCCCAACTCATAAGTAAATTGAATTGCTTTCTCTGCCTCTATGTCAAATATGAAAGTGACTACTCTAAACTTAATGGCTTTCTGTCAGAAATCAGCCAGTGGTCCAAGGAAAACGGTCTTACCTTAAACCCCTCCAAATGCCAAACAGTCAATTTCACCTTGAGGCATAAATCCGACCTAAACAAACTGGTTGGCTCCCACGAGGTATGCAACATAGATGGCATTGAAATAGAAACCAAGTCGGAAGTTAAATACTTAGGCGTCATTCTATCTGCTGACCTCTCCTGGTCGTCTCATATCTTGGCGATTTCTAAGAGAGTATTCCGTCTTACCTTCTACATTAAGAAGTTAAAACATTCTGGTATAACCGAACCCTTACTCCTACAATTCATTAACTCTCACATTCTGCCTATTATTCTCTATTGTTTCCCCTTAGTTTTACCCGGGCTACTGAAGAAGGACTATAACATATTACGCAGGATGTTAAATTTTGTCAGCAGGGTAAGCAACGTGCCACTTAACCAGCTTGTTAATATTCTGGTTGACAGGCACATGGACTCATGTGAAACATGGGACAAATTCATTTTATCTAACTCACACCACCCTCTTCACTCACAACTTTCCCCTTGCATCTCACCAGGCAAAGCCAGAAGCCTATATAGGAAACTATATGCTCGCACCAGTAAGTACAAAAACTCAACCATACCCTACTTAGCTCGTGTTCTGTGCGATAAAGAAAGCATTAGGCGTGACACCTATAATTCACTAAATAGTCAGTAGTACAGCTGGACCTCGTCTTTCCAACTCACATCATTTATAGGTACAACATTTTCTTTCTTTTCCTATTCTCTCTCTTACGTTTTGTGCTGCTTTGTTTCTTTCTCTCGCTTACGCCAGTAAATATGACAGCACCCACTTTTCTAACACCTTCAAACACTGTTCAGCTTCGGTTTCGCTACCGACATGCCAATATTTTGTTGTAATAATGAACTGAGATTTGCTTAATCTATGTAGAATTCTATTTATTGATAATGTACTAACTGGATGCAATACTGTAGTAAAAATGCTGATAATTCCATTCTGTATCACAAGTACTGTTTTGGAATAATGCAGATTATTATTATTATTATTATTATTATAGTTTTCCTTTTCTCCTGAATGAAATTCGTTTTGATGTAATACAGTGTAGTACAACTATCTGTCCATTCACTTTTACTATTGTAGATTGTTCTTTTACTGCATTTTCTTTTGAAAATTTAGGCAAATCTGCACTGGATCGTATCACTCAAGAGATGGCACGTGATTTAAAACAGCATAAAGCAAATGTTAGCGTAGTCAGTATTATACCTGGACTTGTACAAACTGAATCTGTTGTCTCTGCCTATGAAAGTGGAAATTCACCGAAATTATTTGGTTATGATATCAGCCTAAGAATGGGTAAGTTGTTGTAGGTTTTTAGTGAATTTTAGTCATTGTCTAACCATAACAAATCATCAAGTGGAATGAATGTAAATTCTTGAGTAAGTTGACGATGTGAAAGTGACAGAGAGTGAATGCAGTGGGGGATGCGTCGCTGGCAGATCGATGTTCCCACTCGGAAGGCAAAGAACTTTTAGGTTCTGATAGAGAATTGTGTAATTTTTTATTTTATTATAGCTTGACTCCACACATTACTTTTGACGCAAGTATGGAATTTTCAGCATGTGATATCGGTAACCCAAATTTAGCAGGCCGACCGTCGCCGTCGGCCGACGATCGCACCCCGGACCATGTGCATGATCGACGAGCGTCCTAACCACTGTGCCACCGACGCACAGAAACATTATCAGGGCTAGGCGCATGCATATAGCACACAGTCTTCTTCAAACCTTGCACACAACCGTTAGGTCGCGTACTTTTCTATCTTCCTCGGCTGATCTGGCAACAAAAGTCACGAGAACACCTTCAGAGCATATGACAGTTTAGGTAATTTAAAAGTTGTGAATACGATTTATTCTAGATTTGAATGAGTGTGGGTGTAAATAAACCCTAACTGCTCTATACAGTAACTATTTAGTATTTATGTCGTTGCAATACTTGGATTTAATCTAAATATTTCTTTTGAGAAACCTTACACTAAAGAGTAAATAATTTTTCACAGCTGTTGTAAGGCTTTCCTAAGATATAGCGGAATTCTTCTAGTAATATACACTTGGTAGGTGATTTTTCTTACATTGAATAGTTTACTGGCTGCGTTTTTGTTTCTCTAAGGACTGATATACTGATCACACATTCAGATCGAAGCACCTAGTAGGCTGTCTTAGGAGACTACTTATTACTATTACATTATTATTCCCTTGGGTTCCTAGTGTAACATAGGGCTTCAACTGCACGTCTCCACTTGTTTCTGTCTTCTGCTGTACTTTTCACCTGCATCCATGTTAGTCCATACTGTTTCAGCTCTTCTTCACACGATCTCCTCCATGTCACCCTTGGATGTCCCACTCGCCCCTTCCCTTTCGGGTTCCACTCGAGCTATGGCCTGACGCGCGATGTCACCCAGTGGCCTCCTCAGCGAGTGTCCAATCCATCTCCACTTTCTCCTGCATATTTGTTGGGCGATTGGTTCTTGTTTTGTTTGTTCCCATAGTTTCTTGTTGGTGATTCTTTCCGGCCATCTGATCTTCAGTAAAAAACGAAGACAGTTGTTGATAAAGGTCAGCAACAGGCGGTTGGAAATATTCTTTGTGACCCGCCAAGTTTCTGATCCGTATAGAAGAACTGACCGACTTGACGTTTGTATTGAAAATCCGGAGACTACTTGCTGAGGTTTTAAGTTGAAGTCTTGTGTGCATGACAGCTGGGTAACTACCCAGATGGATAGTTTTATGTCGTCCAAATTGAGATTTTTCGATTCCAGACAATGTCAAGATGACGTAAGGGACTAATGATGCAACAGTCTTAGCTTCATAATCTTTTATGATATAAATATGATGGATAAAGTTTACAGCTTCGGTGGACTGTAACGGTATAGTTGTGTTGTCTAAGCTGGATGATTTAGTTGCTAAAATTTCATCGACTTCCTAGATAACATCTTCAGTGCACACTGCAATATGTAATAAGCTTTTAGGACTCTTCACGAGTTTGTCAGTCACCTTTCTCCCGGTCACCCCGAATGTGATTGGTTGTTTGTGGAGACTTCCCTACCCTTTAGTCGGGAAACAACCAACTGCGTCCAACGCCTTCAGGAGGGAAAATGACTGATAAACTCATGGAGACTTCTAAAAGCCCACCTCATATTTTTAGTCTATGCCGAATATATTGTCTCGAAAACAACTACACTAATATCTGGTATGACATCGATAGGAATAATCATTGTAGTATCTCATACAAACAGTCCTGTACTGAGTGAATTCAATGAATATTCCTACTCCCACTTCAAGACCCAACTTATGTGATAATAGACAAGGCATATAGGCACCATGCGTCGGTGGCACAGCGGTTAGGATGCTCGCCGACCATACACATGGTCCAGGGTTCGAACCCCAGCCGATGCATACCCGATATCAATTGGTCGGCCTGCTAAATTTGGGCTACTGATATCACATGCTGAAAATTCCATACCTGTACCAATAATACAGTGTGGAATCAAGCTGTAATAAAAAAAATTAAAATAAATACAAAACATATAAGCGAGTTTAAAAAAATCCCCATTGGGTCATATAAAAGTACAGGCGTTCAACGAAGAGTTACTCCTTTTTTCAGCGACACCATTCTCAAACTGTGTACAATCGCGCTTATACATGGTGAGTGATCTCAGTAACAAAAGGAATATTTCCAAAGATGTATCATTAGAATTATAAATTTTAGATACCAAAATTCAACTCAGAATGAACAATAGCCAAGTTAACAACCTTCGTTGCGACTAAACTTCCACCCATTATCTCTACAAAACCAGTGATTCTCATGAATATGGCCTCATCAATGTGTATCTATCAATTCACCTGCTCGTGTTTGCCTAGGTATGTCGGCCGTACTCAGCGTTTGCTATCCAAACGTATCGTCGAATACTTACCCTCATGGTGTGATATAAAGGAGAAGAAAGATCCCCCCACCCCACAGATCTGTCCTGGGACACCTGATTCAATCTGAACACCAAGTGAACTCACAAACCAACTTCTCGGTCGGTCGGTTGGTTTTCGACATAGAACTTTGCACATATGTGCGGCTGTTCAAGTCGCCACACTCCCTCCATGTAGCACACAAAGCAAGAGAAGAAATTAGGAGGAATGCATAATAAAGACAGTAAACAGAGGTGTGAGACAAAGGAATAGTAATAACGGAGAACAAAACTGTTTAATTGGAAATCATAAGTCACAAGGAGTGGATGCATCTGCGCAATTGAGAACGATTTTGAGCCATGTCACCAATTGTTTCCAACTATTGGTTTTTTACCATTGGTTTTTTTTCATATACGAACCTAGCCCTCTGTATTCGTGGTGAGATTTCGTCGGAGATCAACCCGTTGGGGCTGATGGTACTTCCCAAATAAGTGAAGCGGTCAACGTGCTCTACCACTTCACTTCCTATTTCTAATCTAGGGGTCGGTGAAGCTCAATTCTGCAACATCATCTTATATTTTACGGGGGCGAATCGCATGCCAAACCAACTTCTAAGTTATCTATACAATACGAGGGAATCTTGCTAAAAGAGTACGCATCAAACTTCTTTAAAATGTAGAAATAATGGCGATTCACATGTTAAATCCTGGACTCTGCATACAAAAGAAGTTTGTTCAGTCATTAAATCTACAATAAAAAACCTGATCTGTCTTAACACCGGATATGCATCTTTTGTGTCTTTTGTTTCTTAATTGTATTATCTTCTTCCTTCAACTCCGAATTAAGTGTCTACGCGTTATTGCCATTGTTGTTAACTTGACTATTGTTCAAATCTTAGTTGAATTCTACGCACTCCCGTCAATTATACTACGTCACTCCATTTACTTATTTAATTTTCTTTTAGGTTCTACCCGATAAACACTTTTATGTTACATAACTTGTTACCTGGACAATTTTCAATTCTAATGACACAAATCTCTGGAAATATTCTTTTTGATTTGATGGAGGATTTCATCATGAGCTGACACATCAGTTAGAGAACCACTGGAAAACTATCTGGGAGTACTGCACAGCTGTTGCATCCTAGTGTCTGGGGTTCTTCATCAGTGCGCATCCATCACGAGGGTTCGAACGCAGGACCTTCTGGTTACGAGGTCAGCGACCTCGTAGACCATTGAGCCACTGGGACCCGATCCAATGGCCAGTACATAAATTCTAACTTCTGCCAATTCATGCCATAGCTTTACCACTTCGCAATGTCTTCTTCGTTGAGTTACTGCCTCATCTTCAACCTACTGCACCTTACTGCTAAAGACTCCCAAACTAGGACAACGGAAACAGCTGTCCAGTACTCCCTGCAGGTTTTCCATTGGTTCTCTAACTGATATCAGTTCATGATGAAATCCTCCATCAAATCAAACAAAATCCCTACAAAACCAATACTTGAATGTGTTCTTTTTGTTGCTAAGAGAATTTATTATGTGTATACATGCCATTGTACAGTTTGTAAATGATATCGCTGAAATGAGGAGTAACTAACTCTTCGTTGAAAGTGTTTTCTTTCATACAATACAAAACAATCGATAACTACTGATTTTATGCGCATAATTACGCGTCAATTCCATGTTCAGGTTGTACAATAATAATTCACCATAAAGTAAAATAAGTGATTTGCTTTCATAATTTGTGGATTTTAAAAAAAATCTCTTGAAACAAAGAAAAGTTATCTACATTCAAGTTCTATTGACCTATTTTTCACTTCATTTAATCGTCGAACTTATAAGTGTTTAAAAATAAAGGATGAAATCAAGTTCACCGAATAGTATGATTAAACCATTTTTCTAGTTATTTTATTTTAACTCCAAAAAAAATTAATCAGCGGGAAATACAAAATATTCAAGTAGTGATTTGATGTGATGAAGGCATTTGATTGGCTACGGGTTTGAACACAAGATGAAATCAGTCACAGTAGTTAGAATTCATGGGCCATTGTCTGTCTGTTTTTGACATGGAACTTTGCACATATATGCGGCAGTTCAAGTCGCCACACTCCATGTATCACACAAATCAAGAGAAGAAAGTAGGAGGAATGCATAATAAAGACAGTAAACAGAGGTGTCGGACAAAGGTATAGTAATAACGAAGAACAAAACAGATTCATTGGAAATCATAAGTCACAAGGAGTGGATGCATCTGTGCCAGCCATTGACAACGAGGATTTTGAGCCATATCACCAATTGTCTCCAGCCATTGGTTTTTACCGTCCCGAGGACCCCAACCAGGAAGTCTACACCTTCCTTCGTGACTGGCTTAGACTAACTGTTGTGGATTTCATTGACTGGTGCCATGTTTTCATTTGACCGCCGCTAGCTCTTTTCCAGCTTGGCCCTACATCAGCTAACATTGCCCTTCGGTCGAAGAAGGCGATGGCTAGGCATACGTAACACATGTCCTAACCATCTCAGTCGATGTAATTTCACAGTTTCGTCGATTGATTTCCCCGCCTTACCTAGCACTCGACCGATGCCTAACCTCAATATTTCTCACCTTATTATACCACTTCACACGGGAGATAGAACGCAGACACCTATGATCAAAGACAGCTAATCTTTTCATGTCTTCCACTCACAGCCATAAAGAAGGCCATTGGATCGGTTTTCGGTGGCTTAATGGTCTACGAGCTCAACTTGTAACCAGAAGGTCATGGATGCGTACTGCTGAAGAGTCCCCAGCTAGACTGACCAAACAGCTGTACAGTACTCTCAGGTTTTCCAGTGGTTCTCTAACCAATGTCAGCTCATGATGCAATCCTGTAACCAATCACAGAATCATTGGAAAACTACCAGAAAGTACTGGACAATTGTTTCTTCAATCCTAATGCTTGGGATTCTTCAGCAGTACACTCACCTTCCAAGGTTCGAACCTATAGGCGAACTTACAAACAATAACAAATGATAACTGACACGGGTTGACACAAGAGGTGAGGTGGTTTTTTAGCGGATAATACAAGTAGTTCAGCAAAGAAGATCTTTTCAGTGAATTCATTTTCTCTAACTAAACAATCTCATTTTTATACAGTTTTTTTTCACGAAGGAGGGTAGTGATGATTAGTCATAAACATAGTTGTTAGTATAAGTCAATGCATGTATGGGGAGTTGATTAAGTGTATTAGAGTTACGCAATATGGTGAGTAATTTATTGAGTGAGTTGTGGTCAGGAATAAGAAGTCTAAAGAAGTACAAAAGTTATAAGGAGTTGGAAAAACAAAGAAAAACAGAAGTCAAGGCAGTAGAGACCTACAGGTTTGTTACTATGGTAGTAAAAGTGGCATAATAAGGTGAGAAATATTGAGGTTAGGCATCGATCGAGTGCTAGGTAAGGAGGGGAAATCAATAGACGAGACTGTGAAATTACATCGACTGAGATGGTAAGAACATGTGTTACGTATGCCTAGTCATCGCCTTCCTCGATGGACAATGCGAGCTGATATAGGGTCAGGCTGGAAAAGAGCTAGCGGCGGTCAAATCAAAACATGGCTTCATCAGTCAATGAAATCTACCACAGTTAGTTTAAGCCAGTCACGAAGGAAGGTGTAGACTTCCTGGTTGGGGTCCTCGGGACGGTAAAAACCAATGGTTGGAAACAATTGGTGACATGGCTCAAATCGTTCTCAATGGCTGGCGCAGATGCATCCACTCCTTGTGACTTATGATTTCCAATGAAACTGTTTTGTTCTCCATTATTACTATTCCTTTGTCTCACACCTCTGTTTACTGTCTATATTATGCAGTTCTTCTAATTTCTTCTCTTGATTTGTGTGGTACATGGAGTGTGGCGACTTGAACTGCCGCACATATGTGCAAAGTTCTATATCGAAAACCGACCGACCGAAAAGGGGTTGAATAATTTTCATTACCGGATTTTCTAACTGAATAGCTTAGGCTTCAGTAATACAAAGAAGACGAAAGCGTATTGTCTTTGATAAGTTATTCTTCACTTTGTAGATTAACTTGAAGCATGAGGCATTTGTTGAGATGAAATGACTAGTGTTGTTGACAAGCTGTTCGATTATCTCACTCCTTACAGACCCACCACTATGTTTTTGCAGTCATGCGGTAGTATAGTGTTCTCGGACCCCTTTGGACTGGATACGTGGCTCCACAGTGATAGGTGAACTGATATATGCACATATAGAAGTGGGCAGATGCGAGATTTGTTTCCTTAAGCCTTTTGCAGATCAATGGACAACTGGAGAGTTCTACCCTTAGCGTTTCTGCGAAGATGTTTCTTCTTAAAGAAGCTGAAAATTTCCCCTTAATAATACTTTGGCGTTTAAAACTATGGGTACTAGGTTTTAGCTCCAGTGGAAGAAATATCATCACTCACTGAGGTGAGGTAAATAGCACATCCATCTGAGGAGCTCTGAATGGGACTGGACGTACGTCTTGGGTTCTATTGTTAGTGAATACACCAATCAGGTTGCATAATTCATTTTCTCTTCTTTTCTCATTATCATCATCATCATCGTTATTTTATTTTATTCTAACAGCTATGCCAGCTCCAGTACTCGGTGACCTCATTGCATGTCTAGCGAGTCAATCAAAGAGTAAAAAGTTACTTCAACGTTCCGGTCATTGTTTATTTGCACCAGATTTAACTCGTGAATTCGGTATAAGATCAGCTGATGGATATCATTTTACAAATCTACGCTCAATTAAAACATTATTACAATTAATGGGTTGGAAGAAATTGGCTATCCTTTTCCCAGGATTTATTAAACTCCCCTATTGGTTAATTGCTATAATCACCTCGAAATTTTAGAGGGAGAAAGAAGGAGAAATGCCAGAAAGCACATACATGTGTATATTGTTCTTTGTTTCCTTAACAAAAATGCATTTTTATTTTATTTTATTTTTCATCCAGTTTTTCTTTGTTCTCTAAAATGATTTTGTTTTGGTTGCTTTTTTTGTAGTTTTGTTTTTGTATTTCTAAAAGAAAATATCTCCTCTTCATTATCTTGTAATTTTACATTGTGTTTTCCTCTTTTCATTCAATTTTCAATATGTAAAATGATCTCATTTGTTTTATTATCTATCGTAGATTGACATTAGTTACCGCTGTAATCAAATTCATTATTGATTTCTATGATGTGAGAACTACCTTCAAAACTACGTAAACCTTTCAATCTCTCTTGAGTATATCACTTTCTGTTTTATAATTTCACCTAGGTTATTCCATTTTCTAAGGCGAAAATGGGTGAAATATTGTTATTATTATTATTATTGTTACACTGCTGTATAGTATTGCTATTTCTTGTCATATATTGTTTTGAACGCGCGCGCGCGTCCGCGTTTCTACTCATATTTTGTCATTTAAACTCTGTTCAACTGTGAAGTATCAATTGAAACACAAAGGCAGCCATTTCATTTTTTCTATTAAATTATAATCATTTCGTGATCATTTTCTTTTTGTTAGATGTTCTTTTTGATTAATATTATTATTATCACTATTATAATCATTATTGCATAATCAAATAATGTGTTACTTTTAATCATACTCTCATCCATGTTGTCTTTTATTTTCATTTTTATGTTTAATTTTCTTTACTTTTTTTTCCTTTATCGTTTTTATTTATCATTTCATTTAGTCAAATATATATGCATATAGTTTATTAAATAAAACATTTCGACTTTTGAATTTTTGTCGGGATTTCGACTGGTGTGACTGTGGAATTCGTCATGAAGAAGTATCAGTTGGAGAGATCATTGAAAAGCAGGAAGTACTGGATAACTGTTTCATCCTGGTCTGAGACTCTTCAGTAGCACACACCCACGACCTTATTAGGGATTGAACTGGACTGGGGCCAATCTCTTTTGCCTTCCAAACTGTGAGACTCATGAATTCTAACTTCTATCAATTCGTGTTATAGCACTAACCGGCAACCACTGGTGACAAATACTTAGTACAGTTTCAGGCCATCCATTCAGTAGGCATCAATGAAATTTAGATTATTGCCCTAAGTTCGACCCCTGGTTGAATTGAAGGTGCACCCTGGTGAAAGATAAAATAGCTGTTCAATCCTGCCTGGTTTCCGAGTATCTCTAACTGGTGACGAAATCTACACTGGAACAAATTCGCTTCCTTAATGATGGAATTCACCAACTAACACATTAGATTAGATGTGTTCAGACATTAGATTTTTCGGGAATTTGATTGATTTTGTTGTGTACGCCATGCCATCAAATTCCTTGTCGAGCAATGTTATTTGACATATGATTGGAAAGAATTAGAGGTGTTTTTTATTTATTCCTTTACGTTCCTAGTTGAACATAGGGCTTCAGGCTAGAGGCTTCAAATTTCTGTTGCAGTGGTGTTTACTTTTACGGGTTGGGGTTGCTAGCCTGCCTCATGCCCAACCTTCTCTCTTTACCAGTCGTATTACTGGCTTAGTGGGGTAAAGGGGTGCGTCGGTTGGGGATTTAACCCTGAACCACATGCGTAATGAAATCAAAATATCGCATCAATGCATGAAGTGTTGGTTTGGATTTGAGTCATATAGGGAGATGCTGACTGGTTGACTGAGGTTCTTGAAATGCCAATAATCAATGGCTGAAGATTGTTGGCTCAAAATCATGTTCAATGACACAGAGGCATTCAACCTTTGTGATCTCCAAGATAAGATCCACTGAGTCTTTATTATTCCTTTTCCAGTAAATTTCCTTTTATTACAGTATTTTGTGATTCTTTTATTGTTTATCTTTATATATGGTTTTTTTCGAAGTGGGTCGCTTTTTGAAAAAAAAGGGTTCCCCGTTAAAAATTCAGTTCAGATTTTCTTATCGACCGACATCATCTTGGAAAATGAGTGAATCATTGATTAGTCAGCCTTCCTACTCTTTTCCATATGAATTTGTTTATTAGATATATCAAACATTGTGATGAAAGAGTGTTATTTATTGGATGACAAAGTTTCAAACACAATTTATCCTTCATAATCATATCAGTTATAAACACACAAATTTGTAATTTTCGTTTTATAGTTTTCTTTATTCCTTCCTAGTGGTAGTAGTATTTTCCAGATGTCCAGCTGGACAGGTGTTGAACCATTCCTATTACACGTGTTTGCAGTTGATTCCATAAATAAATCTTCCGTTATCACTCACTTTCTCTCTCCACCCTGTGATATTAGGTTTAAGAATTGCCACCGTATCCCATCTTATTGTATGGTTGTGTGTAAGTGCACGTAGTGAGTGCTATAGCTGAACTATTCTCCAGATTGCTTATCTGATTAAGGTCAACTGGTCTAGATTTTGCTAGGTTTTTATGTTCGGTTAGTCTGACTAACCCTGTTCTACTGGTTTGACCTATGTATTTGACCTGACAATCATTGCAGCAGGTTATCAGATAAACTAAATTGTTTTGTTTTAAAGGCTCCACAGGATGATCCTTTAACTGACAAAGCTGGTTTCTAATTGAGTTTGTGGGTTTGAATGCCAGCCACTTTTATTCCTGCCTCGTTAAGAATTCTGCGTAACATGGTTTTCGAAGTTCCTTCTTTGTATAGAATCACTACTGATGATTTAGATTCCTCATTGTTGATGTTGTCATTATCTTAGGCATGTTTGACATGCATGTCGTCATTATTATTATTATCACTACCACTACTATCATTATTTATTTTACTTTTACATTTCCCTACATACTTCCTGACTAATTTATCAGTGTAATTATTAAGTTTCAAGGCTTCTTTTATGTGTATCACTTCCTGTCTTAGATTTTCTTTGGTACTACTTAGTTTTTGTGCTCTGTTATTTAAACATTTCACCAATCCTTTTTTCACTGACATAGGATGGGATGATCAGAAGTCCAAATATCTCTTTGAATATATGGGATTCCTGTAAAAACTTTTGTTTAACTTCCCAACTTCATCCCTTTTTACGTTACAATCTAACATTGGAAGTTCCTCTTCCTGACTTTCCAATTCATAAGTGAATTGAATTGCCTCCACCTTCAAAAAATCTATCCATATCCTATCTATCTATTCAATCACTAACTTTTCCCACCTATCCATGAATATAATCGAAACAGTTTAGTGTATCTAATACACCGCTGCAACGATTGTCAGGTCAAAGTAGTAGAACAGGTGTAATCAAACTAGCGGAGCATAAAAAACTAGCAAAATCTAGATTAGTTGACCCGAATGAGATAAGAAATCTAGAGAACAGTTCAGCTGTAGCACTACATGCAAATACACACAACCATACAATAGGATGGGATAAGATGACAGTTTTAAAATCTAATGTAGCAGCAGGATGGAGGGAGAGATTGATAACAGAAGCTTTATTTATCGAATTAGATGAGGTAGAATACGTGTAATAGGAATGATTCAACACCTGTACATTTGGACGTCTGGAAGATACTACTACCATATATTACTTCTTAGAATCCAGTAATAACCCCCAAAAGGGAAAGAAAAATCAGATTGGTCCCGATATTGTGTTAAATGTTTTTTTCCTGATCAACTGAATGAAACGATTTTCCTGAGGGAATGCAAGATTTTCCCTTTTTGCATTAATGGTTCCATTCGGACAGTTCTATTATGCATACATCTGTCCTTATGGCATTCACTCCTTTCCGTTTGACACGCATTTGTATTGTATTTGCTTGTTCTTACACATTCAGTAGTTGTATAAGTGCGTCTTTTAGTTTAAAAACATCGATCACAAAATACATTTTGTAGTTAAGACTATAAACGTCTTATTCTTGCTTGGTCTTGATGAGTCTTTCTGGTTTGCGTTCCGCAATTATAATTGACTTGAAATACGCTGGGCCACTAATAAGAAGACACTAAAAGATCTAGATTTCTCACAAACTCAAAGAATTGCAGGCGAAAACCAAAAGACTGGTTGAAGAAGCAGTCGGATGAACATAAAGAACACACAGGTGATGAAGATATCCATGCACCAACACCAACAACAACCAGCACCAGTCTACGCCGACTGGAGAAGTTTGACAGAGGTTACTTTCTTCACTTATCTGACGAGGCAGCATCGATTCACCTTCACCGATCTGAAATCATTTTGGAAATCTTCTACACTCGAACAAGATTTGGATTTTCAAAACTAACGTAAATTTAGTGGTGCTTCTATGCGGTTCAGAAACTTGGCTTACGCGTCAAGGAAAGCATTTCAAACAGGCTCTTGCAGACTTCTATAAACAGTTGAATTCTCTGGCTCTATAGTGAACATTAAATGGGAGGCCGGAAATGATTAGCAACAAGAAACTATGGGAACGAACGAGTCAAGAACCAAACTATTGCTTACCAAACATCCCAAAGAAAATAGAGATGGATTCGACACATTCTTAGGAGACTTCTGAATGACATCGCTTGACTGGAACTCGAACGGGTGATGATAATCGTTAGGCGTGTGTCCGAGGGTGACATGGAGGAGGTCGTGCGACCAGGAGATCACATACAATAGACAATCGTGGACCCAGCTGCAAAGGACAACAGAAAATAGAACAAAGTGGAGAAGTGCGGTTGAATTCTTGTGTTCCACTTGGAAGCCAGAGGAACAATAATGATAATGATTGAGCTGGAAGATAACATGAACAAAGTTTCATAAATGAACAAACAATTTTTTTATACAGTACTCTAAACTCTCTTAGTAAATTTCTGAACAAAATTAAAATCTAAATAAAGCAAGAACAACAGTTATTTATGCAGAGTAAAATGGTACAATTATTATTATCATTTCGTTGGTTACTCGTCATCAGCGTAATTAGGTTTATGTACTGAACAATTTCAACTTAGTTTCATATCTTACACAATGTCAGTTAATGACAGGAGGCTCATACAATGCTAAATGAGTTACGTAATAAAGATCAGTGATTAATACGATGGCTAACTAACACATTGAGCAACAGTGTGGTGAGTTCAACTGAAGTCATAGAAGCAACAGACAAGCCAAATTATACTATGTAAAAAGGGTGAGAGTTTAAGGCGAAAGCTTATTTTTTTTCCATCACGTTCCCAGTGAAACATAGGGCTTCAAGCTAGTGGCTTAAAGTTTCTGTAGCGGTGTTTATTTTACAGGATGGGGTTGCTAGCTTCATGCCCAACCTTTCCTCTTCACCAGCATTATTTCTGGCTTAGCAAGTAAAGGAATGCGTCTGCCAGAGATAGAACCCCGGACCATGTGCATGGTCGGCGAGCGTCCTAACCGCTATGCCACCGACGCACGAAAGCTTATTATAGTTAAATAAAATATATGGCAAAGACATCCAGTTACTTTGGTAAGGAAAGACTAGAAACTGCTTATTTCTGAATGCATAAATCGGGTTTCAGGCGTCTGATATGGATTGCTTTTGCAAACTTGATGCGAAGTGAACTATTTTGTCTTCTGATAATTCTGAAGGATTTCATGATGTCTACCTCATGACTCACATTGATGATAAGTCTGACAATGGCACTGTTGTATACATTTGCTCCCCTGACATGTAGATATTTTGGTACACGTTCAGGAAATCGAAGGAAGGTGGGCCCTTCCTAATGTTCTCTCGATGCAACTACTAGCACAGACACATGTAAATGTGTGTACTTATTGATCCGATAATGTGCATCTGTGATCATTAATTTGATCATTCGTCTTACACATTGTTCGGACACTTTCCATCTCACTGGGTAGTTGATTGGTGGTTGTATATGACACTGGGTCGTAAGATTTAATGACAGAGGCACTCATGGAGAAAGGATAATGGTTCATTGATGGATGCCCACTTTTTGGAGAGGTCCTCCCTCATTCAAACAGAAAAAAGCGTTTTCAGTTCGTGAGAAAACACACAAAAGCAATCAGCCACGATATTCAAGGTGACCAGGAGAGGAGACTAATAACATTAACTCTTGGAGAAATCAATAAGCTC